GGCAGCAGCTTCTAGTGACAATGTGGGGACCAAGCATCCATCTGGGAGACCCATGGTGGGACACGGGGCTGCACAGGAGTGGCCACGGCCAGAGGTATGCTTTGCCATCAGCAATAACCCCCCTGCATTGGGCTAGAGGGGATAGAGGAGCTTCTTCGTCTCTGTTGCTTTTTAAGCCGGTGGCAAAGCATTAACGTGGGGGAAAGCAGGCGCCGGGGAGCCTTACCCGATGATGTACGCGAGGACGATGAGCTGGATCAGCCGGAAGGTCAGTCCCACCTTCTTGTTCCTCACCAGCACCATCCGGGGGGTGTCATACTCGAAGAGGAAGGAGGACACCTTCTCCATGCACTTCTGCCCCATGGTTGCGCCAGGGCTGTGCCGTAGCCTCGCGCCAGCCCCGCTGCTCACGGTGCCGCTGCCACTGGAGCAACTCCTCTGCTTGCAGAGAGGAGGGAAAAGGCAGCAAATGAAGTGCTATCTGTGCTGCTCTGTGCACATCTGGGCTGTCGGGTTTCCTGCTCTGCGGGCCTGGGGGGGGGACAGGGTGCGGGAGGGTGCAGGGCCACCACATGCTACAGGGACAGAGCCATCCGCCCATAGGGGATGCACCCTTACCCGGGCAGGGTCCCTCCCTGGGGATGAAGGGGCTGCGGGCAGGGCTCGAGGCAAGCAGTGACCATGAGGCAACCATGGGATGGTGGAAATGGTGGAGGTCCTGGGAGAGGATGTCATCTTTCCTGCCCCAGCAGCCAGCTCAGACTGTGGGTCTCCTGTTTGTGTCTGTAACCCATGTCCTCCTCTGTCCCCCAAAGGCTGCCCCAGTAAAAGGGTTGGGAAAGGGGAGGGAGGGGGCACAGAAACCCCAGCCCAGCAACTCGGAGCCAAAGCCCCTTCCCGCAGTGAGGTTCCCTGGCCGGGGCTTGGCTGGATCCCAGGGGCTGGGCTGGGCACATTTGGAAGCATTTTCAGTATTCCCAGCATTTCCTGAGCCGTGAGCAGGGCTGGGTCACAGTGAGGGATGCTCAGCAGGGTGGTGCAGGCACCGCTTCAGGGGGATACCACTGAGAAAGGGTCGGGATTTACACGTGCCAGACCGAAATTTGGGGGACAACGTCACTGCAATGGGAAGCTTTTGTGGGGGGTTGGCTCATTGCTGGGGGAAACACAGAGGCTGCGGATGGGGATCCTGTACAGGCACTGCATCCCATCGGGTAGCCCCACAGGAGAGAGCTCTTTGCTGGGGAGCACTGGGGCTGAGGAGGGTTGTTTCTGGAGGAAACAGAGGATGTTTTGCCTCCAAAGCCCAGAAGCTTCAGCACTCCCCACAAGGACAAGACTCCATCCCATGAGTCCCAGTTCATCTGCTGCTTCCCGTGACCTCGAAGGACGCGCCGGCACCTGCAGCCACCGAGTCTGGGACAAGGTCCCTCTCTGCAGGGGGAAATGTTATTGGAAATATGGAGAAGTTTAACCTGCTGGCATAAATCTGTCCCTTCCGGAGCACTGAACATCATCACCTCCCATGTTCAATCGCCCATTGCTGAGCATCGTGTTGACCTTTCAACTCGGTATTTTACACATCTGACAACCACAAAATGAGTGGAACAAATTGATTATCTTTGCTGGGCAATAGGGAAAATAGGGGAAAAAGCTGATGAACAATTTATCCGAATCTTTTGGGCATACCATGAAGCTTGGGAATCAAAATCAGATGATCCCACTTTGCAAGTGACGTGACATCCCAGCACCCCAGGCCTCAGCAACATGGAAAGCTGTCAAACGGGGAGCCAAAAGCAAATATGAAATGCTGATGCTAATCATATGAGATTGAAGGCTGATACTGCTATTGAGCAGAGCAGACAAACCTTATAAGCTTAGATATCTGTCAGGAGAGAAGCAAATAACTTACTGTATGAAACGAGGCCTTTTAGGGAAGGCTGCTCACCCTTGCCAAAGCCATGGGGATAATGAAAATAGGACAGCTAAATTTAACAGCAAAATGACTTGTAAAAGAGTCACTTCTAACCTTCACTCTGGTACTTGGAGTCAATAAAATGGTTATAGCATGGATTTAGCTAAAATACTTTCCATTGGGAGATAATAGGCATCTCCCATTACAGTATCTCTTGGAGCCACTTTGCAGCTGGTGAGTAGGGCCGGACCCCATGGATGTGTCTGTGGTGATGTGGGGAGCAGGGGACCCCAGCACAGGAGCACCCACGGGGCCTTGGTCTTCTCTTGGGCTGCTGTCAGCACCTAACATGGGCACTCTCCTGGCCCCGGCACCCCAACGCTGGGACAAAGTCATAGTGGCTTCACATGCTACCATTGCTCTGCCATGTGGTTACTGTGGGGAAGTGCTCTGCTTGGGCTCTCAACCTGTGACATTACCTGCCAGGAGACGCTGAGTTCATGGGGCTGTGATGCTGCTGCAGCTCAGCACTGGGCTCTCCTGCCAGGTCTTTCTGTTTGCAATAACCTGTGGTGATAATAAACTTATTATTGTAACACGTAAATGAAAAGTAAAAAGAGAGTTAGTGGAAAGGTGCTTTTATCGGCATCTTTATTCTGCGCAAGGTGCAGCCCCCTGCACAGCAGCTGTGGCCTTGGGGATGGGGGGTCCCTGCAGACACAAGCTTATAGGATGCTGTCGATACACCCACAGTCATTTCCTCTGAACAGCTTTGCACCTCTTTGTCACTGTCAGGGCCCTCAGGGGTGTTGGTGCAAACACTTGAGCTCGGCTGCAGCAGGTCCTGGGCACTGGGGCTGGGTTTGCCCCGGGCACACAGCGCTGAGCAGGGCTGGAGCTGAGCAGCACGCGAATGGGGGACCAGGCAGGGTGGGAGTGGGACAACAGGGGACACAGAGGGGAAAACCAGGTAGAGATAAAGGAAATCAGCCCATCTAGCTCTGCTGCCTATGGGAAAGTGGAAGCAGCAACAGCAAATGAGTCCCTAAAGCCTCCGCGTTAGCGTCCAGGGTTGCAAAGCCCCAGGATCAGTTTGTCCAAATGCTCTCCTGGGTCAACTGGTGCTGCCTGGTCCCCAGCACCGGGTTGGCCTCATCCAGCATCTCCTTCAGCTCCAGCTGGGTCAGACCCGAGGGCATCCCTGGCAGCGCTATGCAGGGTTAGAACAGGACTCCATCCACGGCTGCTAAAGCGGCTCCTCCTGCTGCCCCTTCAACAAACTCAACCTCTGCTTGGGGCTGTCAAGAGAAAAATGCAAAAAATGGTATTTTTAAATGAGACATTTGGAAACGCAAGTGAATCCTTGCTTCTTGCTGGGACACAGACCCAGAGGATGAAGGAGCACAAAGAGGGTGGTCTGAAAGCCTCTGTGTGGGGCTCAAGCCCTCCTGCTCCCAGGAAAGCGAAGCTGTGGTGGGTATAAAAGCTCCCAGGTCTTTCCGGGCTCTCAGAGATGGCTCCAAAACCTCCTTGGGGGAGGGGGGAAATTATAAATATAATAGATGAAGCTCATTACACAACCCAGACTCATGCTTGGCAGCTTCCAGCACCGAGCTCCGAATTTCAGCACAAAAATGTGCAGCACGCTGCAAAGCTGCGGATGGGAGGAATACCACGGTGGCAAGGGGACTTAAAATACGATGATGGGTGCAAAGGGGACCTGCTGCGATTGAGGTTGCCAAAAAGAGCCCCTGAAAGTTATTATGGCTCTTTGGCCACCACAGCCCCCATGAGCCAAAGGAGATGCTCACACTGCCCCACTGGCAATGGGGAGTGTGGAAAAAATTTGGCAGATGGGAGCAAGCAAGGTCCTACAAAACAGCATGTTCAGTTTTCTTTCCAATTTTAACTTGTCCTTGACCTCTCTTCGCTCCTTCCCAGCAGCGCTGGCTCCGCTCTGTGCCCGGCCCGCGCTGCGACAGCCCAGCGCAGGCAGATGTTTTTGGTGGTACTCACCCCACAGCAGCAGCGTTTCCATCCCTTGTTGCTGCAGCAACACATCTCCCTGGAAATACCTCGGCCGTGGTTCAGCCAACGCCAAAGCAAACACATGAACCCATGATGCTGGGGCTGCCCGTTGTATCTGCTGGGAGCATGGCAAGCACATCCTGCGGGGCAGCTGAACGGTGCCATGGGGTACAGGGAGCACTGGGGTGGGGTTTTGGGGGTAACATCTGTTTTCTGAATGCATAGCTCCAGTGGTGATGGTGCCCAGTGGTCCAGGGAACAACGCACCATCAGATGGGGAATGCGGAGGGGTTTTACCTTCACTGCTGTGCTGAGGCAGCGCTGCATCCCCAGGAGCGGCCAGCAGAGGATCACCACTGCCATGGCTCTGGTGACCATCATGCACCAACACTGGAGATCAGGTCCAAGAGGAGGCCAAGAAATAGCCCTTTAGCGATATCCACACTGGCCTGGGTGTCCCACATGCGTTTTTGTAACCCCCTTTGGGTTACAAGGGCTTTGGGTTACAAGGGCTTTGGGTTACCCTGTGCAGCACCTTTCCCCTGCTTGTACCATTGGGAAGGAACAGAAGGGGCTACATCCCAGCAAAACCACACCACGAGCAGATGTTGCCATGAACCCAGATTTGCTCCAAAACATGACCTGCAGCTGCATCAGGATTTTCCACTCAGCACATGACCACGGGCAGAGTTCTGGGCGATGTGGAGATGGAAACATACAGCCCCGAGTCCTGGTGCCACCCCCAGAGGAGGCCAAGTTATTTAATTATTATGTATTTCATAATTATTTCTCATGGAGGTCATTGCAGGGCTTATTTAAACCTCCTCTCTCAGCTGGGGGAGATAAGGTGAGGACTATTCTGGATCCAGTCAAAATTAGCACTGTTATTTGTATTCTTGTGCCCTGAGAGCAAATTAGCTGGTACTTTAAAGAATTCCCAACAGTCATATCATGCCACTCCTTCCATTTCGCCTTTGTTGTCCCATGCCAGAGACAAGCTCAGCTCCATTTCTAGTTTGGCTGCTCTGAAAAGCCACAAGAAACCCTGATCTGGTGAGCACAACTCCTTTTACGGCTGAAGAATGCCCTCAGGCACTCCCGCACAGCTCCGTGGGCTCCCAAATGTTCCCCAAATCGGCCACAAACAGGGCTGGAAAAGCAAAAAAAAAACCCGGATAATTCACAAAGCGACAAAGAAAACCCGACACAACCCCCTGGAGTCATCCAGTAAAATTGCTTTTATTTCTGTAATTTCATAAGTATAAAACAAATCAGCCCAATATTGTGTGAACAGAGTGGATCGTATGGATGTGCCCACGAGGAGCCTTCCAACGCTTAATGGCACACCCGGTAGTTACACTCGGACACAGGACACGGTTCAGGAAGTGGTAATTTAGTGGAAAAATATCTCTCATGTAATAAAATAGGAAACCTGTTTCTTTCAGTTTTACCCCTCAAATAACACCCTCCCCCCCATCCCCAAGACACAATGATTTACCTTTCGCTACAAAGCACAAACTCAGAGATTTCTAGATTTGGCTGTTCAGGCATCTCATATGTATAAATTCAGCATATTCCCAGACCGAAGCCACTTGGCAGCTAAGGACCTCCTCTTGGTCCCAAGCACCCAAATCAACTCACCTCGGACACCAGCCAGCGGTACCCATGTCCCCATTGCTCCAGGCACACACAAATTCAGGCTCAACCAATGCCCCTCTCATACCGAAAGCTGAATGACACCAACAGGACAGGTCCATGGAGCACAGTTCACCTTCTTCACTGCAGCCCTGCAAACCTGAACCCAAACTGTGCCACGCAGATTCTGCACAGGGTGAAGCCTTTCTCCTTCATCCCAAAAGGATGAGCTGTCTCCTCTCCAGGGAGAAACCCTGCCAGAAACTGCCACTTCAGAAGTGGGGGGGAAAAAGCCCAGGTAGGACTGAACAGGGACAACTGAATCTCTGGCATCGTTTATACAAAGTATGGACCAAAAATCACAACAAGCTTTAGAAGCTGGTACTGGGGACTCCTGTATGTTTGAACTGGATTTGATGCCACAGTCACTGAACCTCATGAACACCTCCCACCAGCCAGGACAGCGTTAGTCTGAGCACAGCAATTCTTGGATGGGTTTTCCTGGAGCAGGACTTGCCTGGGAAGCAGCACTATCAAGCTGACCTACAAAAGAGGGACCAAAGATTGCTGCTGAGCTTTCTTATTGCTCCTCTGGCTACTTCTGCCATCCACACTGTGAGCAGAGATTCCGGTTCAATGCCAGATTTGATCCTCTTACAGGAATGAAGTCCCCCAGCCCTTCCTGCTCCTGTCTTCTCCAGTGCCTGGTGGTACCATCCAGCCTTGGCTGAGCAGAACATCAGAAACACACATACAACAACTTCACAGTGCCAAAGGCTCAAACACACACATCAAAAACCTCATCCAGACCCTGAGCTCTACAGTGGCCACATGACAGAAACAAAACATAGGATGCAACACTCCTTTGCTCTGAAGAGCATCTCTCTTTTTCCTTTTCCAGTGTGCTTCCTGATGGGATCACACAGGGAGAAAAGCTCATCTAGTGACTGGCCACAATGACACGATGTCCCAAAACAGCACAAAAGACTTTCCACTGCTGCTGCCCGAAGCTGAGCCAGGGACATGGGACCACTGCTTCCTGCCTTGGCTGTAACCCAGCACAGTGCCTAGCCCCTGAGAACAGAGTTTAAAGTGCTCATGGACAACCCCATGCTGCCATCACGGTGTCCCCTCCACCATGCATCTTGCATTGCTGCTTCTTGAATGTGAAGGATCTATCACAGCAGCTCACCAGTGCTAAAGGTCTTGCTGGAAAAACCTAAGCCTTATTTAAAAACTTTGAATATTCCAGGCAGCACTATCAAAATAAGACTGAAAAGGAAGTAATTCCTAAACTCTGGTGTTAAAAAAGCAAGGATCCTGGAGGCTTTGCCCCTGACTTGCTTTTTCTTGGCAAAATAGCCACCCAGTGTTCATCTCCCTTGTATTGCACACAGTCAGATGCCTCGGAAAGACGCAAGACCTGATCCCAAAGCAACGGTCTCAGCTCTAGGATCTCCAAGTCTGCTCAAGAACATGCTCCAGCCTGTAAAAGCACCCAGCATGCTGCTGGTGGCATACGTGCAATAACTAAATACTCCATGATTTATCCTGACCCTTCACTGAAGCATAAAGGGAAAATAATTAGATCTATGGATATTTTCCTATTTCATTAAAATACTTGAACTATAATCCTCTGTAATCAAAAAGTATGGATTGAAACTGTATTCCAAGTTATTAAAGGACGGGGGTGAACAGAGAGATGTGGTCAATCATTCCAAATGGGAAACAGGGATGTGTCAAAATGTTCCCTGTTAGCAAGAAGGACGCCTGCTCCTGGTAGCCTCAGCAAAGGTTTCCTGTACTATTTTCCAGGTATTTTCTAGAGGCTTACAATATAAAGGCAAATGCAGCTTGCTGCTGGAAAGAACAAGCCTTTGGCGGGACACAGCTCTGGTTTCTTGCCAGCAATGGCTTGGGGTTTGGGAACTCACCATTGGAACCCAACAACTGCACAAAGAGACTGACATTGCCCAGGCCTGCAGCAGCCTGGCATCTCCACCAACGAGAAAACAGCAGCAGTTTGGCATCTCTGCCAACACAAGGTAACAAGCTCAGCATCTCTTCAAATAGCTACTCTGTCAGTGGGTTCAGAAGGATGCCTGGTACCACCACCTCCAGCTCTCTGCTGCCAGCTACGAACTGAATGCGTAAGCAAGTTAGGATTTCACTATTCCATCTCTGCTCTGAAGCAGAGCTCTTGTTTTACCTTTTTCCCCCTTTTAGGTCTCTCTACATCAGACACTCCCATCCCTTATTCAGTACTTATTAGCAGGACCTTTACACAAGAAACTCCTCCACACACATATATGTTTGGGTAAAATTAACAATCCTACACAGGACCTTAAGCCCAGCAAAAGCAGCACAAATTAGGTGGTGCAATACAGAATGGATGGACCAAGCAGGTCCCTGCAGGCACAATGGACTGAGGCCACCGTATCCCAGGGAGATGCCAATGGGCAGCTGAAAGTCCTGCAGGACCCCATGAACAGGGCTGGGATGCTCTGAATCCAGTCCAGCTGCCCCCAAACTGGTTTTCAGCCTCAGGGAAACACAGAAGCAATTTCTTCTGAAGTCACTGAGTTGGTACTGGTTTACACTCCCACTGGTTCCTTCCCTGCACAGAGAGATAGAGATATGTACTAAAAGAAGGTGAAATTCACCCTTCTGGGGAAGGGCAAATCACACATCTACAGCCTTAGTCTTACTAAAGCCCTGTTTTGAAGGCTTAATCAGTACCTGGGTCATGCCCTGGTTCTCTGTACCAGGGTGAGTCTCATCCATGGTGGAAATCTTTAAGGAGGAACTAGTTGCCCCATGGGATCACCAATTAAATCCATTAGACAGAACACATTTGAAAAATAAAACTTCTTCAAGACAAAGTATAATAATATTAAAAATCAGCAACAATCTTCTAACCACAGAGTATCTATAAAGATCTTTTTAAAGAGCTCCATATTAAAATTCCTTGAATACATTATATATTAAATACAGTAACGACATTTCATGCAGGGTTTTCTGTACAATAAAATCAGCTCAGTAGTATAACAATTCTGTACATTCCCATTGGTCTGGGGGCTCTGCTCATCTTCAATGCTGGTGATGGAGAAAGGAAAGGAGGGATGATATTTGGCACCTACTGTACAGAGGAAAAGTAGCTCTTGCCCAAGTGAAAGGGAAACAGAAAAGAAACTGGAAGCTTTCAAGAGGCAAAAAGTAAAAGAAAAAAGCCAACAGCAAAGGAGCCAAACGCTATGTTAAACCCTGGCTCTAGTGCTGCTACTGGAATTAAGACAAAGGAAAGGGTCTGGCTAACTAAGTATCACCAGGACAGATCATAGGGGAACATGAGGAAAACAGGAGGGAGGATCTTGGAGAGCTGGAGAAGGAATCACCCACTATCAGCTTCTCAGCTATCAGCTCCCGACTATCTCTTTCTCCAGCTCAATGGAGAAAGATCAGTTTACTGGATCCCAAAATCCATTCCTGATCCACAAACTCTCACTGCAGGCTGTGTCACTCCTGCTGCAGAGAAGTCCCAGGAGGATAAAATATAGTTGGTGCCTTATAAAAAGGGATGCCATGACAAACACTGCTCACAGAAAAGAACTACATTATGTACAAGCATACATTCATTCCTGTCTCAAAGGCGGATCACTGGTGTCAAGGATGCCCTGTGCAAGACAGGGATGCTTTCCAAACGCAGAGAACAAGAACTCATGGATGTGCTCCTAAGGACTTAAGCTCTACTCCTCCTAAGGAAACAGTTAAAAATCATCTGAGGAAAGAAAACATGACCAGGAGGGAGCAGTAGACATGAGGAATGTACATTCGGTCATCCCCATGGTTTGAGTTGGAAAGGACCTTAAGATCATCTAGTTCCAATCCCCTGCCATGGGCAGGGACATCTCACACTAGTCTAGGTAGCTCAAGGCCCTGTCCAACCTGGCCTTAAACACTTCCAGGGATGGAACATGCCTGGCTTTAAATGGTTGCCCCTATGAAGAAGAGGGCTACAGCTTAAACAGTGCAGGTGGGATCTCACAAGGTGCTGGCTGGAGGAGAACAGACAAGACTACATCATGCTTTGGTGTCAGATAAGCCTGAGAAGGTGTGGGGCTTTCTACAACACAGGGATCAATAGGACAGCATGATAAATAGGGAGAACTTCACCTTCCACCACATGCACCCGATCTCGACAGAGAAGCACGTGTCTGTGAGATCCACACCACCACTGGTCACACTGTGCAGTGCTGTGGAGCTGCTGCAGCCTGCAGGCACTGCGGCTACCGGAGCAAAACACAGCACCCACCACCACCACGGACATCATCGAGGGGCAGTGATCTCAACCCATCGCCCCCTCACCTCCCTCCCCAGCTCCAGGAGCTGCCCTTGTGCATCCCACCCCGATGGGGGATGCAGCCTCTCATCCACACTCGGTGTATCACCTAAAACCCCAGGTTCCCCCCTCGATCTCCCATGAAGGACACCTTGGCGTGAGCTCACTCCATCAGGGTGAGAATTGGAAAGAGGGCCTCAAATTCTGCAGGAACAAACTCCCAAGGAACCGCATTACGATGACCCAGGTCCACACAGCTCCGTCCCCAAACCCTACACCAGCTGCCCAGTAATTGCACTCCTATGTACAGGAAAAAGAAAGCTACAGAACAAAACAAAATCAGGATTTTTCTTTTCGACGAGTCACCCGCATTTGTCTGGTAGTTGGACACATGCATGTCCTGCTGGTCTCTAGCGAGGGGCATGCATGCAAGGCTTCAGTCCGAGTTACAAGTGAGGGATCCTTTAGTGAGGAGCGTTTCCTTCGTGTCATTCATTTCTTGTCCTCTTCTCCTAAAGTGAAGGGAAACAAGAAAAGGAGAAAAAGTACTGGTGAGGGTTCACAAGCAAACCAGCTCCCTAGTTTTGTTATCAAGGTTGGTCCCAGAATGAGCTGCCCCAACTGCTCGGACTGCACAAGGAGAATACCAGTCCCCAGGTGAGGAAGGACTCGGCACACTCAGGAAGGTAGGAAAAGGGATGGGTCGGAGCCAGGCAAGCAGGAACAGCAGGAAGGCGAGCAGGCAGGGATTCCTCATACTGCTCCTAACAAGAGCATCAGGCAGCAGCCAGGGAAAGGCAGCAGCGCAGAGAGGAGGAAGCTCACTGCATCCCACCACCCATCCCTGCTGCAGCCAGACAGATGGATACCGCTCCATGGGCTGACACCACTTACCCCCCACTAGATACACTTTAGATATATTTACATCCATATGTATCTGCAGAACAACTAGCAAGGACCAATGTTTTGTGTCAGTCACTGTCGCAGCGCCAGGGCTGCCCTCCTCCCTTCTCCCCGCTACTGATGGATGGAAGGTAACAGCCAACACATGGCCTGAAGGAAAGCTACAGCGTTCAGCTTGAGCTCAGTGTGAGCAGCACTGAAATCCCTGCCAGCGCTTGACTCACACCAATTAGAACCCCAATTTTCAAGCAGTTGACAGCAGTGTCCCCAGACCCCTGAGGCAGTGGCTACTCATCAGCCCAAGGCTGGGAGAGACCCTGTGGGCAGCTCTGTCTGCCCAGAATAGTCTTTTTTCCTTTAAAAAACACACACATGGCAGCACTTTCTGAGAAGAGTTAGAAAAAAATGACTTATCATGAATCTTTCGACCATATTTCTCTGCCTTTCATCACTGCACACATCACCAAACACATCTCGCAGAGCAGCGCCGTTACTGTGCTCTTGATAAATAGGGGTCCTGCCTGGGGTTACCGGCGAGGCTCCGTGCCCGCTGCCAAGCCTGATGCCAACAGGCTTCCAGGGGAATTAATAAATAACAGGGCAGAGAGAGGGGGGAAAACTGTTGTGCAACTTCAGCCAAAGTTTCCTTCCAGCGCTGGCTGGAGAGCACAGCCCTCGTGTCCTGAGATAAAACTGACTGCAGCAAGGGCAGCATCCCTCCAGATGCTATTTGGTCACAGGGATACTGATGACCATCGTGTATTAAGCCTCATTGCAATAATCAGAATGAATCTCCTCTGTGTTACAGAGTGTCCTTTCAGCAGCTCCTGCAGCTGAACAGCCCTCACTGGGTGACAGGCAGTGGTTATTCGCTTTGCTGAGAGCTCACACTGTGGCTGCGCTGCACGGTGGGCAGGGGCAGGATGGGGACACAGCTACAGCACAACAGCGAGTCTTTAACCATGGTGGATGCTCTTCAGAATGTCACTCTTGGGCTTCTGAGTCCCCCCTGACACAGAGCGAGCTGGGTCTTCCCATGAGAACTGGCACCCCTGGAGCTTTAATAGGATGCAGGGCCCTACGTGCTGGTGTCTGGCTCTCCTCCCCACACACTGGTGACGGGAGCATGGGGGATGTGAGGACCTGTTTGCAGGAATGATGAGATGGTTGTGATCCATCTGGATCCTGCCTCATACCACATTCTCAGGGGTGTCACAGCCCTTCAACTCTTGCAAACTTGCAACCAAACACCACAAGCTCATGTGCTACAGAATCTGCTCCCCACCAGGACAGATGAGGCTTCTGGGGAGGTTTTTCCTTACTGCTTTTGATGCTCTTAACAGGCCCCTGTAGAAAGTGATGCTGAAGGGATGCAGGCTCCAGCCACCAGCCTGGATCTCTCTCCTCCAAAGGAAATGCTGCAGCCCTCATAGCTCTGAGAATTGCACATCTGCCCCATTGCACCAGGGCACGCTGAGCTTCAGCCCAGACCCTGGGAGAAAACCAAAAGGGAAATCCTCCTGCCACCCCTTTGCAATACCAGGGCAGCAGCACCAGCAGCTTCCCTTTCCTCTTGCTTTTCTAAAGCATGGCATACACATAAAAAACAGGAGAGAGGGAAAATACAAAGAATACTAAAAAGCAAGGCAGCAGAGCTGTATGATCCTGCCTGGGGAGATTCCAGCACTGAAAGGTGCAGTTGCCACTCTCCTTCCGAGCATCCCATAGCTCAAGCGAACGACTTGGCCCATAGGGACACATTCCTCCCCTGGCGCCAGCACCCAGCCAAGGTAGCTCCACGCAGAGATTACCCTACAAGGGCAGGCCACGGCCACAGGCTCCGGCTCTCCGCTGCCCGGGAAGAGAGATGCCTGCCTCTGGCACAGGGAAAGGGGGTGGCTGCAGCACTGTGCTCCCATGGGAGTTTTGGGGGGCTGCTCTCATCCCCAGGTGCGGTGCATGGGGGAGATGAGGGCAAGCAGCTCCTCTTCACTATGTGCTGCAGGGGTTTCGTGATGGGACACGGAGACTGTGGTCCCTGCAGACTGTAGGCTGTCCCAGAGGGATGCAGAGCCCTGGCTGGCCTTGGCAGGGAGCGGGATACAGTTGTCACCACCCAGCCGCTGCTGCCAGCTGCTCTCCTCTGGGAGGAGGTTACAGCATGAACCTGACAATGACTTTGCATCAGAACTTCCCATTTTCAGGGACGCTGCTGCCCAGGCACTTGTGTGGCAGGAAGCACCTGCTTCTTGCCATGCCCCTGCTCTTACCATGGCAGAGACAAGAACGGTGAAGTCCAAGGAGCCAGGCACGGCTGGCTGCTTGTAACGTGCTGAAAACAAGTGAAGACACCACGGTGGCAACACTGTGATGGGTTTGCTCTGAGAGGGTGAAGATGAGGAGGCCCAGAGATGGTGCAGGAAGGAAGGAGGGGAGTGGAGCGGCCATGGCAGCAGGCTGATGGTGCATGGAGATACATGAGCACTAGGGTTAGCTCAGTGTCCTGTCTGGATTTGGTACCTTTTTAGAACCACTCAGAAAAGAGCCTCCTGCAAGGTCTTGGCATAGATGCCTGGAAACCTCCCTCCTGCACACCACGGGGCTCAGAAAGAACAATACACTTCAATGCACAGAGCATGGCAAATATTAAAAGTACTAGTGCAAGAGGTCCTTGAGGGTGGTCAGTCCTTCTGGGCCTGCCAGCATGTGTGACAGACCCGAGAGGGCCCTGGAGAACATCTCCATGCTCCTGACCAGAACATCTGCAGGTTGCACTGAGCCAACCTAGTTCAGCTGTGCCCTTTCAATTGCTGTTTCACACTCACATTGTCTCCCAAAACTAAGACAGCAGAAACCTCAGAGGGGCCAGAGATGGATGAAGCAGCAGTACATGCAAAGTGTGCAAGATGAGAGGCTGGAAATGACCAAGGTGAAGGGGAGAGGAATGTAAAGCACTGAGACCATGGTGAAAACTGAAGTCTCAGGTTTCTGCCACTTCAAGGGACAATGAAAGTCCAGCATAACGGAAACACAACTTAATCTGATCAAAGGAGAAACTTTTCCATGCAAAACCTGAATCAGCACAACTCACAGCTATCCATTTGCATCCCTCAACTGAATACCTTTGGCCATCCCTCAGAAGGTCCCACATTGAAGGCAAGTCTTGCCTTGCAGAGACCAAGTGGTTGTCTGGCCCCTGGCCAAAACTGCCATGGGATCAGCTGCTTCATGGGCTTTTTAGACCTTGTTTTCAGGCAAACCATGGAGGACAGTGTGGGAAAGGAGATCCTGTCTGGGTACAGGGTCCCTGGGTTCTGTTATTTGCTGGTTTTCCAAGCCACGTTCACCCACATTCCAAGCAGGTTCCCACCATGCACGAGCAAGACTCTGGAGGAAGCACAGGGATACAGCATTCAGGGGTGAGATACATAAGAAAGCCAACCCTTGCTCTGGAGTCCTGCAGGTTTTCAACTGGTGCTCCCCGCTCCACTTGTGTCTTACTGTCCTGAGAATGCCTGGTAAAAAAATCACAACACCACACTTGAAAGTGGCTTTTGGACCTTGGTTTTTGTTTGTTTTCCAAAGCCCAGAGGAATTTGGCAGATTCAGATTTCAATTATTTCTTTCAAATATGATGGTTTAAATGTGATTTTGCCCTTAGCATGGGAAACCCTTGCTGGATGTGATACAGAGCAACCTGTGAGCATCAGCAGCATCATGGCCACGGGCATGAGGGCAGCTCATGCTGGGAACATGGTATGGGAGGACGAAACACTGAGCTGGTGTGATGGGACCAGAAAGGATTACCTGCCTGCCAGAAACCCCACTGTGCTCATGCTGTGCTGGCAGAGCCAGAGAAAAGCCCTTCCTCCAACAGCACTGAGTTTTTACAGACAAATGCAAAGTGTGGGAGAAAGACAGACTCATCACCAGATCACAGATGGTGAACCGAGGGCATGCACAGGATGCAACAGCCAGGAATTAACCAGTTCTCCTACATCCCAGCCCAGAGCAGTGCCATGAAAATGTTGCTACAGGTTGGTAATCACACAATAAACCAGACCTGGGTTTGTTTGTTTGTTTGTAATCACACAATAAACCTCACCTCAGGCTGTGAGATGCACTTCTGTGTCTCAGTGAAGGCTTTTCTGAGCAAGCACTGCAGTAATGCACCAGCTTGCCACAGAAAGGAATGCTGTTGTGAGCTGTGACCCACTGATGGGGAGGGCAGCCAGTCTGTGATCATTTCCTACTTGCAATAATTTCCCATCCTGTATTTCCAGGTTTTTGCATGGTTCTGCTCCATGAGACACCAAACAGAGCTGTTACAATGCCCCAAACCCCTCCCTGCCAGGGCTGGATGGACCTGCCTTCAGCCCTGAAAGGCAAGAGTGGCTTTGCACAGTTTTTCTGGCTCATTATTAAAGGGTGAAGGTAAAAAAACGGGTTTGCTAGGGGGTGAAAAAAGGTTTGAGCAAGGTGATGCTGTGGAAGGACAGCCAGTCCGTCACGTTATTCATCTGCCCCCCAGAGCCACTACATCTTCCCCATGCAAGGACAGTGTTCCTGCTGCCCTTCTTCCCCTGGTATCACTGGCAGGGTAAGCACACCCTAAGGAATGAATAAAACCTCTTTTATTGCCCTCTGGAGAGGGGAAACAGCACTGAGATATCACCTACAGCAACATCTTTTGCAAGGAATGAGAGATGATTTCATCTCTTTGGAGTGTTGCCCAAGCACATGCTGTGATTTACAGCGCGGAGCCCGGGAGCACACTGGAACTGCTGCCCCTGTGTCACAGGAGCTGTTTCTCCCCTGTGCACACCATGGGCTGGATCCTGAGAGGTGCTGGCAAAGGGCAATCCCATTAAAAGCAGTTTATAAGGTGTTGAGCTCTCAACTGATCTTAACATAGAAGGAGCAAACACAAGATAGGGATGGGTGGAAGACTGAGAAGAGGGGAAAGGAGGGATTCCTGTTAGAAACCAGTGTTTGATTTGTTGTTTGAAGGGATCCAGTTCCCAGAGTTTGGAGAGGAGCTGAATAAACACACATGGCAGATTTACCTAGTGCTCCAGCTCCTAAAGAAGTATTTCAAGCTGATGTAAGTACCAACTGCTCTGCCAGGCAGGAAGGGGGTAGGAGAAAAAGTCCCTTTTTCACAGCAAAGGGAGATGAACACTCAGTTGCAGACACTGCATGAGCAGAGGAGGTGAGCAGGAAGCCAGCATGAACCCCAAGCAAAGCATAACCCAGTGTACTGCAGACCATGCTCACCATCCAGGTGGTTGCGGGAAAGGTACTTGAGTCCTTCATCCAGCAGGATAACAGGCAGGGAGATTTTCATTACAACCACCCACTGCGGCCAGCTCAGGGGGGTTACCTGGAAGATGAGCTGCAAGATGGAGAGGATTGGACATGTCAGTAGGGAAGGAGGTGGGAGTTTTTAAGGTTCAGGTTGTTGTATGGCACAGGTTCAGAGGGGTCATCCCATGTACAAGGACAGAGGATCCAGATAACCCAAAAAGTAGGATTTCTTCAAGGTCTGTCATGATCCCAAAGTGGCTCTTTGCCAAGATAAGTCAAAAATGGCCTCATCTGCAGATGGGTAAAGTGAGGAACAAGCTAGGACTGTATGTTCATGTGCTCACAGGGGCTTATAGCAAGGCATAAGGGACAATGCAACCCTCCTGGGCACAGCAACACGCTTCATCTTAAGCACCCTCAGGCATCAACCAAGACATCACCAGCCTTGGACTGCAAAGGGAGGTGATGTCTCTGGAAGGGGCTGAACCACTTTCTGGAGATACCTATGTCCCTTTCCATTACCTATACAGAGAGCTTCTGACTTAGGGTAAAAAGTCTCTAGGGCAGAATGATTCTCACTCCCCATGTTGGTTCAAGACCTGGTCCTGAGGGTGTGTGCTGGGGACAACCATCCCAGAAGCTTCCAGCCCCAAAGATTGCTCCAGAGCTGTCCTAGCCCACAGCAGGAGGCCCTGGGCTGTGCAGAGAGGTTGCAGAAGGCACTCACAGGCATGGGCTTGACATAGAGGATGAGGAAGTGCAGAGCCATGGACATGACGATGGCTCCCAGCAGCCAGATGTTGAGCCATGGTGGCATCCGCAGCAGCGACTGGTTCTCAGAGACACTGTCAAAGCAAGGGGACAGTGTTAGCTCCAGCAACCTCCTGCTCCTGCCCAAGCTGGGGGTTCCCATTCCTCTCCAAGGTACAAGGCTATAGCCCTTCTCTTCCAGACTGTCCATCTTTGCTGTCACATGCTTTGCTG